TTGCTTTGCTCAGGCTAGTCTCAGACTCATGCAGCTGGCATAAACATGCACACATCATTCATAACTCAAGTTCAGTTTGTGTTGTCACTGATGAAAGGCAACAGGGTCTATATAGAGCTGCCTGAGTTTAGTAGGAAACAGATTGGGAGGCTAGAAGTGGACGAGATGCTGCAGTGGTAGCACGGGGAGGAGTGCCCATGATCTAGACGACCACTGCCGTCTCAGGGAGAGGAGGCAGGGTGGTCGGCTCCCTGTGGAGATGCACCTCCCTCAGGGACATTCTAGCTCCGCCAGCTCTGTCCAGTGGGGGACTAGCTGTGGGGTCACACAGAAGTGCTTTATAGAGATGTCAAGAGCCAGCCCCTCAGCTGGATTTTTTAAAATGATTATTTCACTTTCTCTTTTTCATGGAAACATGTGAAGATTGTTTCTTTTTTTTTTTTTACCTTGAGGCTTATATTTGGAAACCACTAAAGGCTATGTTAACCAGTTACTATCAGCAGTAACAGAGTAGAGTTGAGGGGAATCATGAATCATCACTGCAATCAGTCATTTATAGGCTCAAAGAGCCAACGAATTATAAATTGGACATTGAATTTCCTTCACCCTGGCCGTGGATGCTGGCCAGGTTGGTGTAAGAGCTTTGGGGTGATTCCTTGTTTTAAATGATGCAAACTTTGGTAGTTGTCCCATATCCATTAAACGTCTTTCTTTTTTTTTCCTGAGACAGAGTCTCACTCTGTCAACCTGAGTGGAGTGTTGTGGCATCATAGCTTACAGCAACCTCAAACTCTTGGGCTCAAGTGAGCCTCTTGCCTCAGCCTCCCAAGTAGCTAGAGCTACAGGCATGTGGCACCATATCTGGCTCATTAAACATCTTTATTTGCTGCTGCCAAATACTCCCTTATTTATTTATTTTTGTTTCATAAACTCACTTGGAAACCTAAATGAAGGTCTCGATGTTTATCTTAAAGAACGTCGTGAAATAAGAAGTTCAGAACCTATTTATATTATATTTTAAGGATTTGTGAGACAGTTTTGTTTAGTTTTAATTCACAGTGAGGACCGTGAATGCCGTTTGTTTCTGATGTATGTTTCTTTTCTTTTTTTAAATTTTAGATCGTGTTGCCGCCTCATCTAGAGAGGATAAGAGAAAAACTGGCAGAGAATATCCATGAACTCTGGGTTATGAATAAAATTGAACTTGGCTGGCAGTATGGCCCGGTATATAATTTTGAAATTTATTTTCAGATTCTGTTAATTGATCTTTCGGAAAACGTAACTTTTTCTTCATTATCTTCCTATGGGGGGACATAAGTGAATTGGATTGATCTTTTTCCCCCCATGCGTTATTTTTAGGGAAGTTTTGCTTTACTGTGTTTTTGTAGTAAATGGGCTGACTGACGTCCCTGACAGGTTCATTGAAAGTCTCCTTGTCTAGACAAGTGAAAGTTACTAGTCTTTGCGTTGAAAGTTACATATTCAAATCAAGATTAACAGATACAGATAGTGGACTTTGATTTCTGAGCTACTTAAAAAAAAATCTCTGTAATTGATAGTGAAAATGAAAAGAAATAAGTCATTTTATTTTGCCCTTTTTCTCTTAGTTCCAATTGTATGTAACAGCAGGGGACCTGTGGCCAAAAGTTCCTAGTTGATTTCACAGGTAGAAGACAGTCTATAAATAATTGCACGTTTCAAATGATGACTTGTTAAAGATCTTAGTTCACAATGTGTCAATAAAACTTAGATTTAAAATAAAACAAACAACTTTCTATGTAACCCGGGTGTTTTGGCATGATCTTGGCCTTAGTGTATCTCCCAAGGCACAGATTGTTGCACTGAGTTCTGAATGAGGAGTATTCAGTGTTCAATTTTCAGCAGTAACATAGGACTTTCCACACTACTCAGTAGTGTTATATATTTGTTTAATGCTTTACCTTTTCAGATACAGATTATTAGGTTAAATTGGCATTGCATTTAACAGGGTTATGTGTTGTTATTTCAGTTTTACTGGTTAGGAAGTAGCAGACAGTTCCCATAGAGTTGTTAAATGCTTCGGCAGAAGTCACAGAGCTAGTTAAGTAGGGCTGGAATGCAAGTTTTATAACTTCAAGTTTAGAACTGTTTTTTACTGTAAGACTTGCTGAAGCATAGCCCCCAAATGGGATCCTTTCATTAACTAAGGAATGATTAGACATTGGTACATCAGCAAACAGTGAAGTGGCTAGTTTGGGGTGACTTTCATAGACTCTTAAAAATCAAGGACATCTATAAATGCTGGATAAAATACTGAACCACAATTAAAGTCAAGAGGAGGAGAGATGTTATAGATGTCCTAGTCAATTGCAAGAGGAATTAAGGACAAAATTCCCTAAAAGTTTCAAGACGAGGCTAAGAAGATTTAGACAAAAAGTTCATGAAAAGAAGCAAAATGAAAAAAAAACAACAAAAAATTCATACAGCGACAGCAAGTATTTTACTGAGTTGATGCTCCATTGAGATGGTCTCGTACCGCAGGCTCCTAAGTTCACCTAAATGATCATGTTTTGCAGAGAAGTCTTAGTTATGTTTCTTCTTTAAAACGTGAGAAAAATAGAAAATCTCATTATTATTCTCCCAGTTAAATTTAGTTCAGTTTAATACCATCCGCCTTATTCCTGCTATGTACAAAGTACTCTTTGAGTTTTCAAACATGGTTGTAGCCATGTGGAGTGCAGAGCCTTGGACCACCCTGCCCACCACTGACTCAGCTTCCCTTTTGCTGGTTCTGAGGTGGGTTGAGGCAACATTGGGCTTCCCGTGTCTCCAGGGGTGACAGTGAACCCTTGGTGTGTTTCTGTTGTGCTATTATCTGCACCATTTCATCTAATGCGTGACTGCTGCTTTTACAAAACCTTCTCTGAAGCTCCTTTTAGTGAAGTATTTGTAATTTCTGACCTTTCAACCTCTATTATTCTACGGGAAGGCCTGTGCCTTTTTCTAGGTTAATATCCTAAATTCATTAACATTTTAAATAGTGTTCTGAAGTATTCATGTGTGTTTTCCTTTGGAGTAGTTTATACTTAGCTACCCGGTATGTTGAATTTATTTATTTAGTTAGTTTTTGCCATGAAGTTACAGTTTATTGGGGATAAATTTCATAGGAGCATTATGCAGGGCTGTATATTATGGAATAACCTCATGCACAATCATTCTGTCATTTATTGGTCCCTTTAAAATTTATTGTATGCCTACTGGGGTAGCGTTGTGTTTGCCTTTTAGGAACTTCCTGTTTTGTTGGGTGATGGACATGCACGCAATTATGGAGGGCAGAAGAAAGATTTAGGTCTTGCCTAGGACTCAGGGAAGGCTTCCAGGAAGAGGCACATATTTGACTTGAGTCTGAAGGATGAGTTCTGGCAACTAGAGAACAAGACCGTATTCTAGGCAGAGGGCCTGGCAAGGGTAAAATGAGGAGGCAGGAGGAACAGGCATTTGCAATGACTGTTCAGTGGCACAGTATTGTCCCAGGGCAAAGAACAAGGTTCTTCCATAGTACAGAGGAATAGAACTGGGAAGGCCATGTAGGCAAGAGGTACATCCCCAAAGACCTTGGGCAGAACGTGATTTTATTCCATAGGGTCTAAGAGTTTTGAAAAATGCTTAGGAGGGAGGTGATACATAAGTCTATGTATTATAAAGAAGCTCTGCTATGAGTGTGACAGGGAGAGGGAACAGTGCCCCAGGTGAGAAGTGCTAAGACTGTGCCCGGCAGTGGGGATGGAGACTTGTGATGACAGGAGATGTTTCAAGTTCAAGTATGGGCCGTAGTAGGAGAGAAAAGGAAATCTCAGCAGGTTTCTTGTTTTAGCTCAGACCCCCAGCGGATGATGGTGTTTATAGAGTAAAAGGAGGTGGAGATTACACAAATGGGGAAGATAGTATCTTAGGATCGAGACACGTCTGTCTTTACTTTTATGCTTAGTATTTAGGGTTAGAGACTTAGAGTTGAGAGTTAAATTGTATAACTCGATCTCATTTCCGGAATTGTACATTTAAGTAAGTCTACATGTTACCTGCTTCTATAAAAGTCCTGTTTCATGATCTCCAGATCGAGAAAGGAATAAATAGACTATTTCTAACTTGGTGAATCCTGAAGACTAGTCTTGCTCATGTTTTTGTACTTTCTAGGCGGCATTTATAAAACCTTGTAATTATTCCAATAGAGTCATTTGCTCTCTGACAGCCTGTGGCTGTCATCTAGGTGCTGCCCGGGAAGTAACGCCTCTGTAATTTAGGCCTCCTAGAAGATAACAAGCCTAATTACTGATGCAAGGATAGAGAACATCTTTCTCATGAATCTATTCCCTTGACTTTAATGTGATTGCTGATATACACTTCCAAGGATTAATATGCAGAACCGCCTGTATTATGCTAACTGATTTTGTTGAGGTAGTAGAGCGATTTGTAAGAGCAGGAGGTCTCTAACAGGGGGTGAAATGAACAACCAGAACCACCTCCAAGAGTTTTTACATCAGGCATGTCATTAATCAGTGTCTCCAGTCAGTTTAATTCTACACGGAAAATCATTACAAAATAAGTCATCACCCTACCCCTTCTCCCTGGAATTAATTTCAATTTATATAACATTGTTAAGTACCACCATGTCATAGTCTAGGTGCTTAGGGCGTATCAAAGAATGAGGAGACCCAAGTCTTTGCTTCTAGTACGGGGAGACAGAACAATAACCCAATACCCTTCATTATTAATAAGGATGTAGTCTGTTAGAAGATGCTAAGTATGGTTTATCTTACAAGGGTACAAATGAATCTCTGTAAATGTAGAACATAAATATCTTAACACAATAACTAAGAAAATGACATAAAGGCTATGTTAACCAGTTGGATGGAAATATTTCAAATCGTATATGAAAACGCCACACTGTACCCCATGATTGCATTAATGTACACAGCTATCATTTAATAAAAATAAAGTGAAAAAAACATAAAAAATAAAATAAATAAAATATAAAAAAAAATAAAAAGATGCTAAGTATTATAGAACAAAAAAGTTAAAGGAAGAAAGAAGAGTATCAGGAGGTTGAGCAGGTTGCCTGATCAGGCAGGTGGGCAGGGTGATCCTTATTGAGAAGGTGAGATTGAAGTAAATGGTGGAAGGGGCTCGGGGGGGAGCCTGTGGGTACTGGGGTCACATGGGCATTTCCTCTTGCTCTCCCTCCCCACTTTGCACCACAGTTGAATTACCATTGCCAGTGTCTGACACAGGAGACTCTTACTTGTTGCTTTCCCGTCCTGTCGCAGGTGAGAGATGACAATAAGAGACAGCACCCGTGTCTGGTGGAGTTCTCCAAGCTGCCTGAGCAGGAACGCAACTACAACTTACAGATGTCACTGGAGACCTTGAAGTGAGTGTCCTGACTGTCTCTGTTTTCTGATCTGCATTACCTGAAAGGAGCCAGATATTGACGTTATACTCTAGTTCACTGCAAAGATGCTTTAATAGCAGTTAGAACTTTTAATAACGCGTAGGCAGATTGGATTAGCATTTGCTGGGATTAGACTTTGACTCTGTCTGTTATTTCGTGGCATTTTGCTCTACGCCAGTATTTCCCAAGGGTGTCATACAGCCGTTCACAGACACGTGGAATATGTGGGTTCTGTGGTTTGATGAATAGTGCTTTACAGAGTGTGGAATGTAATCCAAGGATGGGGTACAAATTGGCCCTGGTTTGTGGCAAGGTATGTAAAGATATCATGAGTGTTTAGAAACTCTTACGCGAATTTAAGGGAGCTATTTATTGTATGTCTATGAAATCTAATAATTTCTTAAAATGTAAAGTTGTAACTTGTACGTCTTCAAAAAATTAATTTTCTCTCATAATTTTATTGTTGTTACAGTATCAAGCTACAATACCATAGAAATTAAAGAAAATTAGTTCCTTGCCATCAATATTTTGGTCTAGTAGAGTTAAAAGATGCTGAATTAAAGTAGCTAAATAGGGCCGGGTGCAATGGCTCATGCCAGTAATCCTACCACTCCAGGAGGCTGTGGTGGGTAGATTGGTTGAACTCAGGAGTTCAAGATCAGCCTGAGCAAGAGTGAGAGCCCTTTCTCTACTAAAAATAGAAAAACTAGCTGGGCACAGTGGCACATGCCTATAGTCCCAGCTACTTGAGAGGCTGAGGCAAGAAGATTGCTTGAACTCATGAGTTTGAGCTTACAGTGAGCTATGATGATGCCATGGGATTCTACCTAGAGTGACAAAGTGAGAGTCTGTCTCAAAAAACAAACAAAAAACCCCCAAATTGTTAACTTACTTTTAAAATATTAGTATGGTAAATCTCTAAAATGAGGAGGAGTCTGTTTATGGTGTTTTCTAAACTTATTTAAGCATACATCCTCCTTTCAAAGAGTACCTCTGGGGACCATTTATCTAAGCAACATATCTTTTTTTTTTTGGCCAGGGCCAGGTTTGAACCTGCCACCTCCGGTATATGGGGCTGACGCCCCACTCCTTGAGCCATAGGCACCACTCAACATATCTTTTTTTTTTTTTTTTTTTTTAAGAGACGGGGTCTTGCTGTGTTGCCCAGGCTGGGGTATAAGTGGCTATCCACAGGCACCATCATAGCTCATTGCAGCCTCAAACTCCTGGGCTCAGGTGATCCTCCTGCCTCAGCCTTCTGAATAGGTGGGACAACAGACACATGCTGGCTGCCACTGGCTTGAGCAACATATTTTGAGTATTTTTTTATACTATCTTATAAATGCTTTTCAGAGACGTTTTGCTAATTGATCTCTTGAATTTGCTACTTAACTTTTGCAGATGGAAGAATGGGTCTATAATAAAATACAGGCAGGAATATAATTTCAAAATTTAATATAGAAAAGCAAAGAAAATATTTTTGAAAAACCTATAACGTTTGTCTCCTCATTCTCAATGTCCTATAGAACTGGATTTGTTCAAAAAGTCACTTATCCTAATACGTTTGCATATTAAGTGTGAAATGATACCTTAGTTCTTTTTCAGTTTCAGTTTTAAGAGTAAGGACTTACTGCCAGTGAAGTTTTTTTTAAACAAAGACCCAGATCATAAAACTTAAACACTGCGTTTGATTCTAGACTTTGGGCTCAGATACACAGTCCTATGAGTCACAATGACGTGTGAGACCAATAGCAGACACATATATTATGGTGGTCTCATAGGATCATAATAGAACGGAGAAATTCCTGTTGCCTGGTGACATCATAGGTGTCATAACATCATAGCACAATACATGACCTTGCCTGTGTTTAGATACGCAAACACCAATGTATTGCAGTGACCTGCAGTGTTGAGTAACGTGCTGTGCAGGTGCATAGCCAAGGGGCAATAGGTCAGACCATCCCTCATGATGTTTGCATAGCAACAGAATTGCCTAACAAGTTTTCAGAACGTATCCCCATTTTTAAGGGATATGTGGCTATTTCTTCAAAGATACAGATGAAGTGTCATGGAAATAAATAAATTAGGCATGGAGTGGGCTTAGATTCTGCTAATGACTTGAAATAGTGTCTATGCGAATCAAGTACATTTAGAACCTTGTAAGGGTAAAACGTGACAAGGGTTTCCTGTCCTAAGGAACATGTAATGAGCTGCTATGACCTGGTGACTTACATTCAGCGTCTGCGTTCTTCTTTTGTGGTTATGACGTGAGGTTTGTACGTTTACCTTTGTAATTCATGGCAGCTCATTATCATACCCCCCCCTTTTTTTTTTACAACACAACGTTTTATTAAAAGGTCATGGTCTAACCTAACTTATTAACAGTTAAATTTGCAATATGTTCTCTATTATTTTAGCAATTGACCGCTAAGGCAGCTTTTGCAAAGAGCAAAATGTTGGACTTAATACTCTGAGGCTTTGACTGCTGTCTATAATCCAGTCTCATTCCCAACAACTACTGGGAGCTGGTTTGATTGGCCATCAGACTGCAATACCATGGTGCTGTTCCTTATGGAGAATGTTAGTGACCCTTTTCATGAGCTAGTTGATAACATTACTTCTTGGATTTTCTTGTACCTAAGTGGTATATATTTATATGGTTTTGTGATGAACCCATTTCTTTTTTTTTTTTCATTGTTTGGGATTCATTGAGAGTACAGTGAATTAGGTTACACTGATTGCAATAGTTAGGTAAAGTTCCTCTTATAATCGTGTCCTAACCTCAAGAGGTATGCCACAATTTCTTTATGTCTTTAATAATCAAATTAGAGGGAAAATACCCCACTTCTCCAAAATTCATGCTATGCCCAATTCCAGTGCTTTAGAGAAAGCACAGCACTTTTTTTGTGTGTGTGTTCCCTTATTAACGTATTGAGTTGGTAGGCACCAGAGTTGAGTAGACTCTGGAGCTGGACAGTCCAAGTTCAAGGACTTATTCCTTGAACGGAATCTTGCTGGAGCAATTCTACCTTTTTGAACCTCAGATTTTCTTTTCCTTCGTAAAATGAGGATCTAACTGTCTTTGCTTCAGAGAATTATTATGAGGGCTAAAGATGGAATATTGAAGCGTCTTATGTCTACCAGGAGACACACAGTCTAGGCTTTTTGCATGTTTGTTTTATAACATGTCATGGGAGGGCCTAACAACTTGGTATAAATTCTGAGTGATGCCAAATAACATATGTGCAAGAAATCATTCCAGAATACTACTTAATTTGGGATGGGAGATGATTTAATGTGAATGTGAATTTTTGATGCTCTTTCTGTGATATTTGTGTCATGTAAATTGTTGATAATGACAACTGACTTGAGGCTGGAATGGTCATCTGTGTATGCTACAGTTCTGCCAACCTCTGACACTCTTTTACAGAGCAGCATGGCCTGGGAGACCGGCCTCCTAGATGGCCCGGCCTCCACACGTGGTCAGTGTTACTGAAAGCTTAGTTTCTGGCTTAATTTTCAATCCATATAATGTTTTCCGAGTTCCAGACCTCAATTTATGAATAAATAAGTCATGTTTTGGAAATTAAAGATAGAAGGATTTTTAATCAGCACATGATGTCCTTTCATAGAATTTATTTCTTTGGAAGTTAACAAAAATATAGTGAGACTGCAAGGATGTTTTTTTTTCTCCAGGCCAAGTATTTATTTTTAGGAAATGGTGCATTTTTGTACACAGAGGGTGGGGAGAAATTGTAGGGACAAAGGAACCCAGAGGAGAACAAGATAGAAGGGAGGGAAATAACAGTTAAGGAAAGAGGCGTGGCTTTTTCCTAAAAGAGAAAGTTTTCCTTGTACCTCCAGGCCTTTCTGGGACAGAGGAAGGGGGCTAGCAGTCTTTCTGTTCTCTAAATGTTGGGAACCATTTATTCAATCCTGGACCTTTCCTTCTCACTGTGCAGATTCCTGGAGGTTTTCTTAGCATGCTCATGACTTAATCACCACACTGCCCAAATATCCATCTCTACGTCCCCCGCACACATCTGCTCTGAGTGAGGGAAGTGTGTATCCACCCCTCAGGGGGACTTTCCTGGTTGCCTCAGAAGCCCAGAGCTAAGCCTCACTCACCTGCCCTGGGAATAGCACCCCCTGCTGTTCATCTACCAGATAGGCCAGGGACCTGGAAATCATTCCTGATACTTCTTTTGTTTAATGCATACATCCAGTCCATTACCAGGGCCTCTGAGTGTCCCTTCTCTCTGTCCCCTGTCTCTGGTTCCACAGCAGTCAGCCTGGACCAAGCCACCATCACAGTTAGCAGTCTCCTAATGGTCCTCTCACTGCCTTGTTTATTCTGTACACAGCAGCCCAAGTTCACATCACACACCTGCACCTACATTCATATGTGGCTTTTACCCTGCACGGTGAGGGCCTGGATGATCTCGATCTGACATCTCCTGTTTGACATTATATCTGGCACCATTCTTACGTTCCAGCCCCCACAGTCTCTTCCCTCCAATGAGTTGAACTTTCTACTGTCTCTCTTATCCTGTTTCCTTTGAATAGAAAGTTCTTTGCTTGACTCTTAAGTTGGACCGTCCTTATTCAGCTCTCAGGCCTCCACTTAAAACACTTCCTTGATAAGAATTTCCCCGCCTCTTCCTTTCCCTCTGTTCTAGCACCTTATAATAGTTGTATGGCTCTCAGCACAATTTGTAATATAACTTTCTAAGGTTATTTAATGGTTGCCTTTCCTACTCGACTGTAAGCTCCATGAAGGCAGGAACCATGATTTTTTTTAAGGCTTC